GCCTGCTGGACGAAAGGGAGCCAGTAGATGCAGTGTACCTCAATTTTGCCAAGGCATTTGACAGTGTCCCACATGAGCGGCTGTTGCGTCCGACATGTGGAACAGCCTCCCTGATAGCATTGTTGACGCTCCGAGTATGAACATCTTCAAAAACAGACTAGACGAAGCTATGCAGGAACATATGATCAGTCTTAAAATGCCTAGCAAATTACGGACCAGTCAATAAGTCCAGCAGCTATCTCAATCAATCGTCAGCTATGGAAAGATCGGGTTCCAAAGGCCGGATCCCTTGTGAATCAAGTCACGAAAAGTTCAAGAATCGGCAACAGGCCATGGGCCTATTTCTTCAACGCCGACAATTCTATTCTATTCTATTAAGAATTTATTAAATGCGGTCATTATACGAAATTTTTCTCTATAACTAAAATTTAGTTTAATGCAGATGAAAAAATTAACAACATAAAAATTTAATATAATTCCATTCAAGTTACATCAAATAATTAAATATATATTAATACTTCCGCCTTTTAAAGAAATGCGGAAGGAGCGTTAATATCATCATCAGGTTCGAAACTTTCATTTGAATGCTCATTATTAACTTCTAGGGCAGGTGGTGATGTTATTCATGGAACAATGTTCAGACAATTAGTGATTGACTGAGGCATGCATGATAAGGAATCCACCTGATAACTCAAACCAGAAGCCGTGGTGGGTCTCTTTGTGAGGCGATTTCAAGTGACCAATGACCATATATGGTAACTTGCCCGTGAAATGGTTGAATAGGAGATAATTACCGTAAGGTTTCTTTCGTCTCAGTAAGAGAATTCAAATTGATGGTGCATACTGGGAAAGTTCGGGCGTTGCCCAGTGACGAACTTTTTGGCATCGTCTGTGGGTTGGCGCGGAAAACAACGACAGTTCTGCAACTTTATCAACTTATAACAATTTGATGCAACCATCGTCTCATGTTTAAATGAAAATTATTACTTGCAAGTGATAAATTTGTTACAAGGTAAGTCAAAAAAAATCATTCCCCACTACCGGTGTGCAATGAACTTGACCCGGGAGATCCCTGCATTTTGATCTCTGCATTTTAATATCTGCATTTTGATCTCTGCATATTAATCTCTGCACTTTGATCTCTGCACTTTGATCTCTGCACTTTGATCTCTGCATTTTAATCACTGCATTGCAAAACCGGGAGAAGAGGAGGGGATCAAAAATTGGACTTTGGTTTATGTATTTGCTCTCCTCGCAGCAGTCGCCACCCAGTTCGAAATTCTCGCAGTCATTGCGGCCGTTCGCCGCAGAGACGTTCGCAAACGCGCAAATCTAGGCCGTTGTTGCCGACTTCACCTCGCGTCCAAGCAGTCTAGCGACGATATGGCCTCATCTGCCACAAACAGCGCGAGGCCTCGGTCGGCAAAAGCTGCGGCAGGCAACTGGCCGCACCTCTGCCGCGGCCTACGTCGAATATGCCGGCGGTAGCTGTTCAAGCGTCGATGAGGCAGGAAGAGGAAGGGGTGAAGAGCGGAGGAATATCGAAAGAACCTTCTAGGCATGAATCTCAATATGGAGCTTTTACCGGAAGAAACTGATTGAATTATTTACTTATTTTCTTAAGAGAATTCTTTTTTATCTTTCTTTTTATATAGCGCGCGTAACGAAGTCTTAGCACCCTTTCATTGCCTAACTTTGTCAAATCAAAACAGGTCCTGGCCTACTTGAGAATTTGGTTAAACGGGTCCTAGCCTATAGAAAAATTTGGCTGAGCTTAATTATATTTTTAAATTTTGAAACGCTTTCTAAGTTACCGGTGGATGTGCAAGTCGTGAGCGCTTTCGCTATGAGGGTGTACAACACTATTAATGAACAAAAAATAACTACATATACAGCTGTCTATGATGAATACTTTATCAAAGGATGACAAGGTGAAAAAATATGCATATATACGATTTAGCAAAAATTTACACGAAATTACATACAGGCAAACAATCTCTCATTAATATGAAGCTCAGCTGACTCATGCATAAACATAATTATCGTTGCGCATATTATGTGAGTCTTAATACCTTACTGGAGTTTTCATATGTCTTATGAAATACGAGCAGGTCTTTGTGCTGTTCTGTTTGCTAGATAAAAACTATTTTTTGTGCTCATCTATTGTCAACGCTTTAGCGCCGCATATAATTCTATTGAATCGTGATGCCCAAACTTTTTATGATCAAGTACAAGTAGAATGTCGAAATTTGGAAAGAAAATATTGATATTGTGAATTGCAATAATAAAAATTTAACGATAATAATATTAAAACTGATAATAGCAATAATATTATTATTATTAATATTAATAATTTTGTAACAACACCTGTAACATGTTCCGCTTGAATTTGGAGGGCTATCCGGTCATGTATAACGCATTCTATTTATTACCAGCTGCATTCGAGCTCGAAAAGATTCTACCTGAACCGGTTGCTGTATTTAAACGCAACCGATGCTCAGCAACCGATGCTCGTTTCATTTTTTGGTTCCAATTATCTCCAAAGGCAGAGATTACAGGCTTGCGTACCAGGATGCGTAAGTGCTACGTACTGAGCTAAAGCTGAGACACGGCATGTGCAGCAGTCTGGGAGCATCCTGAACCCGGTATTCCAGCTAAATGAATGGAAAATTCGGAGGTGTAATATAAAGTAAGTGGGCAGAGACTGAGGCTAATGTCATCTAAATTATTCTAATCAATGGTTGTATGTATTTATTGAGTAAATTTTGTATATAGTCGTTTAAGAAGAGTGGGTATTTGTTCAATAATAATTATAAGTAAAGCCTGTATATTATTTAATCTTCAAGCTTAAGTAATTTAGCAATGAAATGCACATTTCATTACCAAATAAACCTGTTTGATGAAAAACATTCGAAAAGACCAATTAAGTAGGTGGCATAACTCCTGCCGCAACAAGCGCGCTGTTCGGCAGTCTGTTGGGTAATACATCTCTGTTGCTAAGAGACTTGTCTTTTTAAATTTTCTAGCTTATGTTTTGGATTTCCATAACAAAAAATCAAACCAACTTTGCCTCTCTGTGTAATGAAGCATATCGTTGAGTAGACAATGAATGGAATTCGCAATACAGACGTACACGTGTCATTGTGTATATATTTTTCTCCCAATTCCTTTAATCGCAGGCAAGTCCCTATATTAAGGCAAGGTCAACCTTGCCTTCAAGGCCAACCTTGCCAGACTGGTTTTCAGCCTGGAGACCTGTTTAAGATCTTATCTTTCGTCGTCCTCTCGTACCGTGCAGAATTTCGTTATGAGAAAAGAACGCTTCTGTGTTATAAGTTCATATTAAATAAAGCCTATAAAGGAAAATTTAAACTAACGAATTTTTACAATGAATATTAGAAATGAGATGAAAAAGAATTTAAATTTAAATGGTCAAATTTTCGTAATGAAGTTCATCATAGAATGAAGTTTGAGAGGCCAGGAATGTGTGGTAAATAACATATTTCTAGCAAAAATAAAGGTTTGCCATGGCATGAGAACTCCCCCCTACATTAGGTTTATGTTACCCCTGACCCTGAATTAACTAGTGGTAGGTGTAGGTAGCAGCAAACATTCGTGACAGTCGCATTTACTTGTTAATTATTATCCTATCTAAAACTAAAGCTTTCTGGCAAAAATATTGAAAAACCATCATATAAATAAATGTATGTAAATTTGATATCATATTATTCGAATCCATCACATAGAATTTTAGTCATTTCTATTGCGAGTGTAATCAAGTGTAAGATGGGTTTAACTGCTGAACACAGTTGGGTTAAAAATATCAAATAGTTTACGCAACATACTTCTTTAGTTCCGGACTGCTTATAGCGCTTATAGTCAGAAGCTGTTTCTTAGGGTTGAACGTCTTAAGCAGCATTCGAATAAATTACGTATGAAAATTACGCGTGTAAAAATTACGCAATACGAAAATCTTCAGCTCACTATCGATCGCTGAAAACGCTAACTTTATTCTAATTCTAAAAGCAAATTCTAATTTCATTTCGATGATTTATGCAATTTTCTTCTATGACCTATGCAGACTGGCTCTAGTGAGACGTACGCACATTTTAGCGCACAATGAATCAGGTTGGGCAAAAAGCAGTAAATCAACTTAATAATTCAACATGTAACGAACTATTACAATTATTCTAATAATTCATTTGTACTCAAAATTGCAACGCCAATGAATTGCGCTGTAGTCATATTTCCTGTTCGGCTCTGCAAAAGAAAATTTGTCCGAAATCGAGCTTTATGATCCTCTAATAGAGCAGAAAGTTTTATTAGGTTTCCAGTTAATTCTGCTCGTTACATATACGGAACTACGAAAGTTATTGCAATTGGTTAAAATGTAACACAAAATGTAGCAAAGTCCACACTTTTTTCCACAGTTGGTCACAAGCAAGCGAAGCCACGGACCAGCGGACCGCATTGAACCACCCACATGACCACATCAGTGCTCAATCATCAGCCATTGCAGGTGGTAGTTGGCCTCGAAGCGGCATCTTTATTTCACCGAGCGTTTAAGATGGACTTGTAGAGCCTCCATCGATAATAGGTGTCCTCATTTCTAAGTCCAACAGATAGAACATCGAATGACTTGTCTGTCAGGCAATTCTTATTATAACATTTTTTTAATATATTAGACAACGTAGGTCGGAATTTAATGTTGTTACATTTATTCAAATGTAATCATTTGTTGTTGTAATATGCTAGCATCTCCTTATAACCTGATTAGTTCCTGGCGCATTGAAAATAATTACCGAGCCTTTCTTTCCATACAAGATTAATGTTACATTCAGTTTAACTCATAGAGAATATAAAATTTTGCTGGAAAATAAAATTTGAACTATAATGATTCGAGTATTCATGTAACTAATAGGCTTTTGGTAACTCTCATGTGAAATGCCCAGGCCCACTCAAGAATATTCGATGAAAATTATGTCAGTGTTATATTCATTTCCCTTCAATTCGCAGGTGCGAAGATCAACCCACCGAAATGAAGGAAAACGCCTTGAGTGGCCTAGGTTACATTTTGACCAAGTGCTTTCCTGATGTCAAATGGATTCAGGAGAGGAAATTTTTCTTTTTCCAGACGTTTGATTCGATTTTGAGTAAGGCATTTTTCAGGTTAGGTGAATTGATCGCTGATTATCCAAAATCATTTATCGTAATCCCAGTTTTGATCACTGTGATTTCCGTGACGGGGTTCCTCAGGATGAACTGGATAGGCCACCCAGAGTTTCTGTTTTCTCCGTTGAATGGAAGAGCTCGCCAAGAGCGGGACTTCATTGAGGGATACTTTAAGATGAACTACACTGATTCTTTCAACGAGGATCGCCTTACTCGCATTGATCCTTATGTTCAACTGGGAATTACGATGACAGACTCGTCCAATATAATCGACCAAGAAGTAATGAACAAAATACATTCTATAGATGAAATTGTCAGAAATTTTGAGTTTCACGACGAAGAAGGCAAATCGTACACCTACAATGACATCTGTGCTAAGGCTGGAGGAGAGTGCGTGAGGCCTCGCTTCATGGATTTAACAGACCGCATACATGAAGTTAAAACTCGGAAACTAAACTTAACATTCCCGGTCATGATAAATCCTACAACATTCGACAATTATATTTTTCCATTTTTCTTAGCCGGTGTTAAACTCTACCCTGAAAATTCCATCATGTCTGCCGAAGCCATCAAACTCTCTTACTGGGGAAGTGCCGAAAGCCAAGAGATGAAACGCTTGTGAGTATGAAGATTCATTGTTATTGTCAATAATGGTTACCATATTCAGGGCTATTTTTTGCGTTTTAACTTCCTTCAGTTCTCGTCTAAATTTTTAATTGAGTCTGTACGGAACTTTAACTTGTGATAGTCATGAATTTCGAGAAGTGTGAATATATGCCATCTGATCGGAATATTCGTAATCGCGCTCATGTGTGAAAATGTGTTCTCTCGCATCCAACCATATCATGCATACCAAATTTACTGTGCATAACTACGTCCGATGTGAGTGATTAGAAATGGATAGATTCTCTTTCGGCGGCCGTCATCTTAAAATAAAAAATTTTTTCCACTACGTATTAAGCTAATCATAAAAGCGGCATTTTTTACAACCGCGCTAAACGGTCCTATCATATTCAAAGTTTTGAAGTGCAATTAATAACGCAACTTCATTGACAAAACAACGCAAGCCTGGCATAACCTTCCATTCGAGCTTGTTAAGTTATAAGGAAACTGATGGGAGTTTCGGGCGGGAACTTTCTTCGGGGAGGGAAACTAATTACGATGGCAAGTGAATATACAATGCGTGCAGCGTTTACTGCTTCAAATGCATGCATATATTTTCATTAGTTATCTGCCCGATGATTAGGTTTTGTGCCCATTTTAATATTTCAATAAAAAGTTCTGCGGTTCAACTGAAAACAAATAACTTCTTAACGATAGGTGCGGTGAGAGCTTGGTGATGAAGTATATGTTGTTCACATAACTAATTTGGGTATTTTGTCGAATAATTTCACTAGTTTAGTTATTCTCATAACAAAACGAACAAATTTGAGTCGTATGAATAGACTTAAAAGTAATTACTTGTCCAGATTTACATTGCGTATCATAATTTGTCTGCATTTTCAGCCATAGCTCAGTTGTTTGTGCAGTCGTAGAACACAATCGTCGTGTCCTTATTTTGAATACAGCGACAAAATACAGCTAATTATTTTTTATATCCCTGAGACGAAGAACTTACAATATACTAAAACGTCAGAATTTGCGTCTCATGAGCATTTTTACATGTCAAACCTTGTACAAGAAACAACATTGTTTTGAAACTGTTTTCGGTCTTCCAGGAGTCATTTATGGGAAGAAAAGTTTATTGCACACTTCATGAAAGGCTTTGGAGAGCCGAGTTTGAACATCGCAATGTACCACTCAAGAACCGCCTCGCAAGAGATAAGGAACAACACCCTGTCGGTGTTACCTTACTTTACTGTAACAGTGATTGTTATAACAGTCTTTTGCCTGGCCTCCGTCACACTGGGGGACTGTGTCAGAAGCAAGACTTGGCTCGGCTTAGTGGCCATCTTTAGTTCAACATTGGCCAGCCTGACGGCGTTTGGGATCCTCATGCATTGCGGCGTTCCGATGATCGGCATGAACATGGCAGCGCCGTTTCTGATGTTAGGTGAGAGACTTGCCGACTGATTCTTTTATCAAATACTTATAGCGAATCTTGAATGTTTAGTAAATGCAAACTTCAGATTTTAACTCCTAACTTTCGCCTGAACGCTTTTCCCATGTTAGAGGATTTGCATTACACAGTTTAGTTTTTCGATCGTAGATGAGGTGACCGCGCAAACCCTGGTCTTTTGAGGGATAGCATCATACCTTATCGAGTGTTTATTTCCTTGTGTTATTGATTTTGTTTTTATTGCTTATGTAAATCTTGTAGGTCCGTAAGTTGGTTATCATGAAATGCTTACATATTTGCACTTCATTGAATTTCAAGAAAAACTACCATTTCACCTGTGAAGCAGTGTTGGTGAACGAAGTCAGCCAGTGTATCACGATACATTTTCATTTACTCACGATGGTAATTTGTGGCACCACAATGCTCTCCCATTTTGAAGAGTGATACAAAATGCCAGAATGTGTTTGTCAATATTTCAGCAACCGCAAACTTTTAACACCGATTACTATTACAAAAAATACTTCGTGGACAACATTCAAATCACTATATTTCACCCTGCAAGAATTCTCTTGAGAGAAGCACGAAACTTAATCATGTCTCGAGATATTTTGATATTTCCTGATGGACCTTGGCACCAAAAAATTGTTCTGGTGGAAGTGTCGGCCTATCACTTCATTCAAGTAATTCTTAAAGTATTTTTTTTTTTCAAGGTATTGGCATCGACGACGCCTTTGTGACGCTTTCGGCTTGGCACAGAACGCGTCCTCAGGATTCGGTGCGGGAGCGCATGGCTCAAACCTACTCGGAATCCGCCGTTTCCATCAGCATCACTTCCATCACCAACATGATTTCATTCTTCATAGGCACCTTCACGTATTTTTCCTCCGTCATGGTCTTCTGCCTCTATCTGGGTAAGGCTGTAGATTTCGATTTGGTGCTAACAATTATTTGTGGGTTCAGAGTCGGAACCTTAATGTGGGGATTTTTTCTTATTCGTAGGAAGAAATTCTTCGGTTTGAACAATAATTAGTGGCTTGACAGAAATGATTAAATAGCTACATGGATAAATTTACCTTAAAGTAATTTTTAAGTGGTGTAAAGGAATAATACGCGACAGATTCTCAAACAACTTTTCTGGTTATGTCTTCACTGTTTTATCAATGAATATTATCTCATTTGCCTCTGGTATAAATTTTGACGTCATGGAATTTATTTCTGGTGAACCATGCTAGAATTATAACTTTTGGGTGCCCTAATAAATTTAGCAGTTATTATATAATCGCAAGGTTGGCCGAACTAAACTAGTTATGCTGTAAAAAAAATAATTCCATTCAAAATTACGACCAGACTTGTTAGAAAAATCCGGATTTTGGATGTGCACGGCTGCGCTCCCATGAAAGTCACAAAATAAAATTTTGCAGAGCCTTTATGTCTCGTCAAGTTTTTAACCGAGTTCTGCATTTGGCATTTTTATAATTATCCTATTTCTAGCAGAGTTTTAGCCCAAAATCATCGATTCCATCAAGAAGCTTGGTGTTTATGAAATAGTTCCATTGTTGGAAGTAATAAAAGTATTACGCTTCCAAATGTTTTCAACTAAAAACAATTCTTCATATCTTTGCGCGCTGTTGTAATACACGCACATTGTAAAATCAGTAGATTGCTTGGACCATAAATTTACGAGCAATTTAAAATCAAATGCACGCAGGTACCTCGGTGCTGATGGCGTACGTGTGGCACATCACGCTCTTCGGCGCCTGCCTGGCGCTGTCCGGACGCGCTGAGAAGCAGCAGCTCCATAACATTACCTGCAAGCGAGTCAAGTCCAGCTCGGAGTCAGGTTTGTCTTGTTAATTTGTTGTGGAATAATAAAGGAGCATTTTACCCCAAATGTCATTTTTAACTAAAAGTCACGCACCCCGTAATAAGAATAATTCAAGAATTGCGTGAGAACGATCGTATCTGCGAACATTTTTTGTTTCATAGCGTTACAACCATTTTTTTTATTTCGTAATATTACAAGAATTTCATTTATTATATTACTATTGCATTCCACGATTAGAAGCGCTCTGTAGAAGGCCAGCCTTAATATTAAGCGTTATCGTGGAAAAGATCTTTGTCATGCAGCCCCTCAGGGGGGACTTCTGACGGGTGTCTGTGCTCGTCAGAAGTCCTATGGGATTTCGCGTTCCTAAGGGGATTGTTCCTGAGCGCCCCACCGCTGAGCTCGCGGTGTCTGACTGTAGGTCTCAAAAGTGGGGTTGAGTTATTATGTGGGTAGGATTCCTTACATTTCCCTTCTCTGTCTCTCTCGTGCGGGCGGCCGACGTCCCGTGTAAGCGACCTCTTGTTCGAGTGTCTTCGTTTCAGTTGCTTTTCACCTGTCCCTCCTTGTCACTTCGTCTCTGTGAGATGCTAACGCTGCTTCCTTCGAGCCAGCTTCAGCGGGCTGGACATCTGAGACCTTCCGCCCCTTGTGGGTGATGAATAATTGAGACCTTCCACCTCTATGGTGATGTTCATCTTGACTTTCGGTGCGAGATAGCTAAATAGCTGAAGCGCTAGTAAACATTTGGCCACTAAACTAACTAACTAAACTTGTCATGCAGCACTGGTGTTCCCTTACGCCCAAAATATTTCTATCGTGTTTATTAAAAATTCTTCTGGACTGCATCGTTTCTTCTACTCCTGGTTGTGCAATTAAATGAAATCTATTTCGGTGCCAGAATGAGGATCTTTAGCACTATATGCTAAAGAAGACATAATCCTTATCCGATTCGGAAAATGACGCATGTTCCTAAGATATTTAATCACGGTTTGAATAACTTCTTACGCTAACTGTCTCAAAGTGCTTCAAAGATATTAAGAATTACGATAATTCTCTAACTTCAGAGAAGTGAACGATCGTGATGTTCAAGTTGTAACACCTTTTCTACACGCCGTCATGCACTGCATGATACGCAACTGGGTCAGGACAACCCACTCAGGGGCAAAAAGTGCATCGCTATTGGGACAAATTTTCATCCAATTTTCTGAGCGTATCCTGCTAATTTTCAGCCGGGGAGTCGGCATTTTATCGCCGATTCTGCGCCGGTGGAGTGGCCGCGTCCGACCCTAGCAATCCTGACGACAACCAACCACCAGCCGTCGTGATCCTCTTCAGGGACTACGTCGCTCACTGTCTAAACTTGCCAGTAATTAAAGGCAAGAATTCCTTGTGTTTATGTTCATTGGATTACGAAACATTATTTTTTGTCGATTTTTTGATGTTGGAATTGCCCATCCTGCTAGTGGCAACTATAGGTAATGGAGGGAGGGGAGATAGGTCAGTTTTTCGTGGCACTAAGGCCACAGATGGTTCCTCCACCATCATTGGCTCGCTAACCCTTCAGAACCATTTATAGCATTACACAAGACCCTGGACACCAAGGTACTCATATATCAACAAGGTACTCATATCAGGATGAATCGCCGAGTTGGCCATGAGCTGATTTTCCCAAAAAAAAACTTATACCGATTGATACTAAAATTATGGTCGCTGGGTGCGAGATACTGGGTCTCACCTTCGCCTTACCGCAGCTCTTTAGTATGCGGCGCTTGGTCGCCGAAAAATTATTTAAGTGGAAATATTAGAATATAACGCGGCTCAGACTCATGATGGCCTTATTGGTCCCGCAGCTTGCGTGATTCTCTACACAATCTGACACAATTAGTTGGTATCGGATGACGATGGTATTGAGGTCCATGCTTCCCTAGACAATTTTCCAATAGGCGACTCGAGCATCGTTGTAGGTATCTCGGTGTGTCTATTATTGTTTATTTTCAAATTGCCAATACGACTAAAAGATCACTGCATTATCGTACACATTAACAATCAACGTTGCAGAACGTGACCTGACGATCCTCCAGGTGTAGTGGTGGTGGCGTTCGCAGCGTACTTGGCCGTGGCTGTGTACGGCTGCACTACCATCAACGACGGCATGCAGTTGCGCAAGACGGCGCGCTACGACTCCTACTCCATCCCATTCTACGACTTCACTGCTAAATACTTCAGCAGTTTTGCCTACCGCCCCATGGTTGGTTTTGATTAGTGGAAAAATTCGAAATCAATGAAACTTACTTGAAATTTAGGCGTAATATTGCAGATTACTAATGAAGTAAAAACTAGGGAAAATGTACCAAATTAAATACCTTAAAAGAATCAATTTTTAATTATTGCATTGGATAAAAGTAATTTGCTGCTTTGCTACACCCGTTAATTACCAAGTTTCTACTGAGTAATAATGCTATTATTCGGTGACTGGGTATATTTATTTGAATCAGTTAAATCTGTCAAACTGAATGCATTATGACGTAGTTGAATTATTTTCATGCATTATTGAAGATTGATGCTAGGAATGCCGGTCTTGTTTAGATAATGCAATTACAATTCTTTAATGTATATTTTTAATGAATACTTTTTCTGACGGTTGATTGCCTAATTTCAACTCCTGATTAAACTCGGATGCTTGAATTAGGTCACATAAGGTGCAAGATGAATCACCCACGAATTTGACACACACTCTGGTTTAATATTACAACAATAAATTCCTATCAAACATCTGTAACATTATTTTCAGGTTTAAACCTTGTTGTGAATAAAAATCATTCAGACATTCAGTTTTGTCACATTTTCTGTACATTTTCCATAAAATTTGCTAATAATTTCATTTACCATCCGCCCATTTCTTCCAACATCTGACACTTTTCATATTTTAGTACTTTCTATAACTGGCAGATGACCTTCTGATCAACGTCTTTTTAACCTGCGGGCAATTTTATTTGATGCTTCGTTATATAAATCTCTTGCAGTCTTCATCATTATTCTTTGCTAAATCTAGGAACCTTGGTACACATGGCTCTACTCGCGCCCCCAATTTTTGAAAGAGGATAAGTTCAAATATCAATTGCTCATGAGTGTCAGGAAAGTTCCCCACATTTGGATTAATTCCTGCTTCAATATTTGTAAGACTCAACCTTTTTTTGCAGATTGTCTTCACCGGCAACATCACGTACAGCGATCCAGCCATCGAGAGGCAGTTGCTCGAATTCGTTGAGAAAGTTGAATCCCATGAGTTCATCGGCGATGAGTTTTACACGGATTGTTGGTTGAGGCAGTGGACAAAATACATGGCCAAGAATGGCAAGTACCAAGGATTGAATAACAGCGACGAGAAGACCTACATCTATAATCTCCAAGAGGTACTTGAAATATACGGATATGAAGCCCGCATTATCAAACATACCTATATCAATTATTAAAAGTCGTGTTTAAAGTAAGTTTATTCAAAATTATGATTACAAATTTGGGTGGTTGAATGATTACGGACATGGCAGATAAGTAATAAGAAAGCAATAGTGCGAGCTCTAATATATGATTGGCCAGGCTATATCAGTACTCTCTACTAGCTCAGTGCAAGCCTCGTCTTCTTATGTTTAATGACGTCTTTTTTTCCGTTACTGTCAGTGGGATAGTGTTGGGCTTTGCGAAACGTAAATTTAGAGAAACGCGATTTTGAGAAACGTTTGTCTTAAATTTAGCAAATCCATATAAAAATTTTGAGGGTGGTCAGCTTCTGAGTTTAGGACGCTTTTAGCTCGATCAGCGCGTAAATTAGCAGCTCTGTCCGCTTTACGTTCTGGTTGTACGAATGAAATAAGCGTCTGATTAGAATCCGGTCACAGACCGAGCGAGCTATATAGAGGCGTTCCTGGGACGCGCGCATTTGGCACCTGATAGCTTCGGCATAGACACGGCCGAATCTGGCAAGTGCGTTAAAAAATGGCCCCTCCCTTCCGCTCCAATGGGGGGGGAAGGGAGGGGCATTTGATGCCTAATAATAGGATAACATGGGGCAGTGGCCCCCCCTTTTCTTAAACTAAATTTTTGATGAAGTTTTAATTGATAAGAGGTATTTCTTTGTTTTGTTCAGAGTTAAAATTAATGAGGAATGTATGATGTGAATTAGACGCCTATAGATTTATTCAACTTTTATTGAAACAGAATTTTGTTATAAAAGTTATAAGTGTCAAAATGGGCCCATTGCCTCACCTCTGGGACAATGGGCCCATGGGCTTGGGGCAAGGCGCCCACCCCTGATCCCTTTACCACAATTACATATTTTTTGTTTAAAATGATAAAACAACACTTTACCGTTTAAATAAGAAAACTTAATAAAAATATTACATTCATTCATTAATTAACAACTTAATAAAACATATCCTAAACTTGAAGAAACATGTTCTTGGCTTAAAAAATCTATCACTGACGTGAAAAAATATTTCTTTAACAAAAAATATGTATCCTTGACTATAAAAATATATCCTTGCATAAAAAAATTTATCCAGATATTATGTGCAGGGAATTCGTACTTAATCGTGATTTCAGCCAACACAATAAAAACTCATTAAACTTTGGCTCATTGGTGTTGGCTAAAATAAACTTTTGGCAATGCATGAGTCAACAACTCGATAAGGGGTCATTAATACGCAACTAGAACTTGCTGCCTCGAGGCGGCAAATAAAAAAAAAATCATACAATACGATGTGTAATTTGTAAATTAAAAAGCTAGTCATAGTTTTGAAAAGCTTATTGAAACAAATCTAATGATGTATAACACAAGACTTCACCATGGGCGCCTTGCCCCGTGACACGCGTGGGCCCGTTGCCCCACTGGGCATCATTTCAATTTATATTGTGTCAACATTTTATTTTAAAAGCTAATAGTCTTAACTTAAACTCCAAATTATCCCTATAAATATTACTTTCAAAATATAATCCACAGTAATTTCAAAAGCTTTCTATACAGTAATCGAAAACAGTTCTATTTAGCAGAAAAAAAACTTTTATATGGGCTAAAACAGTTATTTGCGAGTAACTTATCAACGTAATAATTAACTCTTAGCAAAACATAAAACCGTACAATTTAGCCCAGTGAAACTGTCGACCGGCGGTAGAACGCACGGACCAATATCTGCCATATATACTTAGCGGGAAACCCGCTATGGGCCCACGACCCGCAGTTGTCCCGTCGCCAAAAGTTACCCTATTGGGGGAAAGGGTGTGGGCTTTTGATCCCCCATATAATGGGAAAATGGAGGGGGTATTTGCACCGCTATACGCTTTATATATGTGCAAACTAGACGGACACATAAAAAATGTATCACTGCGGCACAATTAAGCAAATGGCAAGGAAACACGAATTTGAACCGGGAATAATATCAATTAATACAACTTTCAACCCCAACTTCCCACAACAATCTCGAATATTTACCTGAATGCAGGATTCTTCCACATTGCTCAAACAAAACAATCTCTAATATACACCAGCACACATTGCCCGAACATAACAGTCTTCAACATTCACTAGTACTCAACAATCAACATTCTCCAATATTCAATACTGCTCAATATTATCCAACGTTATCCACGTACAAAAAATTCTAACACATACTTCCGTGTCCCGTACCAAACATTTCTACCAATTGCGGGTACCAAACATTTTCCACATACGGAAGAGCAAGACATTCTCTCGCCTTAACCAGTATTAAACCTTCTCTCATATTCACCATCACTAAACAATCACATATACTGTTATGTATTCTTCCGTAATAACCACTTAAATCAGTCCTCGAAGTTATCAGAAAATATTTGCAAACAACAGCCTAGCATATCTACATAGCTCAATTTTAACTATTTTTAACATAGCGCAAATTCATATGGTAACTAATTTCTGTGTTTCCAGGTCGGAAGAACATAGAATGTAATTAATTGTTTCCAGTAACGCAATTCACGGCGAGTGAATTGCGATTCACGATTCATGGCGAGTGCCATTCACGGTGCATTCACATGCAGCATAATTTGCTAACGACTCGTTATCGTACGACACGTCACTCGTACGGTCTATCGAACTGATCTGCACTCGTCTATATAATTCTGCCTACAGTGATTGTAAAAAAGATCAATTTTTACCGTCGAAATTCTAGTTGCCAATGACGGAAAACCCCTGATTTGGGGGGCGCAAAGCCCCCCGGTTTTACCCCGCGCCTCTACGCGTATTGTGCTTTGCACGAGCTGTCATTATTCTACTCACAGTACGTGCGATTGTAGAGCGAGTAAAGATAAATTTCGCTTTAGATAAATTTGTAATCTAAAGCGAATGAGAGACATTGTTGTGAGATGTGTGTATTATAAAGGAAAAAAGTGTAAAATGAATGAAGAAAAAGAAGAAGGGGGGGGTGAGGTGGTGAATAACTGGTTGGAACTTGTGACTTTCCTAAGATTGTCATGTTCAATGGAAAGTTCTAAAATTTATCCTCCAATAATTTGTAATTCTACGAAAATAACCCAATTACAAAATTTCGATTCACTCTGGCACTAAACCCGATGATGCAACTAAAGAAGCATATAATTACAGAAAACGAGCAACTTTGTTACTTACGAGTTACAATTACGATTTGTATCCCTGTTCGTTAGCGTTTCTCTTGCAGCGGCTTGGTGACTGCCTGACTGGTGAAGACTAAACCCAACCATGCAGTCGAACTCTTGACTGAACTGTTACTTCCACATATGTATACCGCTTTCTAGATGAATTACAACATGAAGTATATGGACACGAGCACGTAAAATACCACGCTCATGCCAGCGTATACCGCAAGTTACAAATTTCCGTTACTGCCAGCTCCAAAATCTTTATAGCTCAACTGAGTTGTCTAGAATTCCTACTGGTATCATGGCGCCATGCCGACTAATCATGCAGTGCCTGAGTCGGAGTCGTGTTTTTCAGTGAACTCCACTATATAAAAACCATTGTACAGGAAATCGTAGAAATTGGTAGTTTCTAATAATTTTCAGCTTTTAAAATCTATTATTTTTTAGTCAAATACTTCACAAGTTCGCTTTTCCCACTACGATTACAGGATTAAAATGAGCAACGTTCGTCATTAAACATGTGATCGTCACTAGAACCACTCGCGAACTATCGCCGGCAAGGCAAACGAAGGTGTAGCGTCTTGTAAGTCTACTCACTCCCTCCAGCTGCATCGCGTTCAACAGAAACAATATATAAACATTTAGCGAATCTAGCAATAAATTTTGCCCTGCGAACATGATAAAGTAACTATGAGGAACAAGAACCGTAAAGCATTGACCAGCTTTTGTCATCGATGTTGTTTGAACTAATGACCGAACTTTTTTTAATTCGTTCAAAAAGTTGTCAGGTGCCTGAGCAGAGTGTTATATGTATGACACTCACGCCCAGTAACCGCCATTAAATGAAACGATCATAAATCACTGAAGGAATTATGTAAACCGTACCACAATATGATACAATTGTGAGCCTCACCTGAAAATATTGAAATTTTGTAGACCTTGTTTGAATAACCGAAGGTACATTGTTCAATGCCTGTCATCCGGCAATGCACTGCCATCACAATATCAAGCAGTTTCATCCAAAATCAAAGCGACTTGAACATTTAATAAAAAAAAACTTGTTGGCTCTGAATGCAAAACCGAAAGTTCATCTGTTACTTTTCCTGCCAATAAACAGCTTACTTATTAGTTATGTACATTACATTATGATAGAGATTTGAAATTTATCTCTTTGAGCTACAAACATTAATTTTTTTACTGCCACGTACTTATCAAGTACTTTTCTCCCCATAGCACCCCTAAATCATATTTCCATGCTTTCAAGGAGCCTGTGGTTTTTAAAAATATAGCAATATAAATTAAGATATTTTTGTCCTTAATTAAATCACTATCTAACTACTACGCAAGTTCAAAAAATTTATAAATTCAATTCCCATTTCATATCATCTTATGCCTTAACAAACGTACGCGTGTATATACATCGACGCCATTCCATGAGCGGGTGATGGTCATTGTTTGCTCAAATACTAGCGTCTGACATGAGACAGCCTAGCCTGTTGGTCTTTTTAACACGTTTTTCTTAACTCAGCTTCGCGTTTATTTGTTTGTTTGTTGTTAAAATTGACAACGAAAATTAGCCCACTTCTTATTGCTCTAGAGATCTGAAATTCGGCATGCAGGCTATTTTCGCCTAACAATTTCAGATGCAATCATAAAAACTAGCAATTAGAGACCTAAATTAGCTTAATTGAGTAAATTAAATATATATATATATATAGTATTACCTGCGGGCGCTGACGTTATAGATGAGCACTCGCTGATGCTGCGTATCGTGGATACGTACGTCCAGTCACACTTAATCAAGTCATTAGATATAGTAGAAAATATAGTAGCAACGGACTAAAAAGTAGAAAATAAAATACTTAAAAAAACTTTTTAAAAAACTACGTTTTTCTTGTGGACTAAAAAGTAGAAAATAAATTATGGCTCGCCCCAAAAAACGTGGGTCGGGCTGTACGTTCACCATCAAATTTTAAAAATTCGTGTGTTTAGTATTTTTTGGTTACGCAGATTCGGCCCATCGTGCAAGCGACTCCCGCAATAAGCTCCTACTTTCCAGCCGAATACGAATAGGGTATATGGCCGATTTTCACCTGATTCTCCTCTAAATCCGAGTCGATGGAAACCGGGGCAACCCTGCATGTAATTTACAATTCGACTGGGATTTATGCCCTAACATGATGACGCTTCAGCTCACTCTGCCTTTCAGTCTCCAAGTTCTTCCATGCGAAAAGCATTCAATGGTATTGATTGTGTATTCTCTACCATACAGAAAAATTACGCGAAGATCGGCATTGTGTGCATTCTGTAAACATCGAGAGGAGTGTCCCCATTAATATAATATTAATATTCAAACTTCCAATTTTGTTGAGGGTTAAATCCATAATCAAACTCATTCTCACTCTGCCACACGGCGTAGGTACAAGTATGTACATATATGTTTCCTGGTTTAATAATTAGTCAAGACACATTTACCCATGGTTGTATTAATATGTTAATTCAACCATCGGTTAAGGGGACCGACTACCCTAAAATTTTTAATTTTGGCGTTTTCCGTTTTTTGTGCTCATCTGAAAGCTGGAATTCTGCTCTTTCCAATGGTACCACTGCCATCGCTGTACGCCAATATTTACGTTCATGACGTCTCTTTATATAGGAGCAAAATGTTCTTATTTTTACATTTTACGTATGTATGTGAAGTTTCATGATGATCGGATGATAACTGTAGAAGTTTTTTCGGAGGGTAGTCGGTCCCCTTAACCTACTCCCACGTGTCGTAGGTTCTTCATATTACTGATTTGTTTCAAATCAAGCATGAACGTACTCTATCGTGTTAGAGAAGTAGAGGTGCTACATATAACGCAAGGCAAAGTTTCCGGGCGCCATAGAACTGTCTTTAAATTTCTTTTGAATCAAATCATCAATTGGTTTAAATCCATGAAATAATCCTTTATGTTTGGTGTAGCCTTCATTCTGTGTTTTCTTCAACAAGGACGATAGTCCATATAATAATATCTGCCTTCGCAATTTCTGTTGTTCCACAGTCCTTCTTAAGTGGCGACATCAACCGCTACCGCGCTGACATTGTCTTCAGCGAAGACAACAGTCGCATCGTCGCCTCGCGCTGCCTCGTCCAGTCGGTTAACGTCATGAACGCCATCAACGATCTTCGTCTGATGCAGGACCTTCGTCAGTGGGCGGACGAGTCTAAATTCAACGTCACTGTTTACCATCCTGCGTTCATCTACTCTGATCACGTAAGTTCATATAGTATATGAACTGATATTTATGTTGAATAATTTCAACTCACACAAACCTTGTTAGACAGATTTTGCTATTCCCACGTCAGTCTGTTGATAAAAATTTTGATTAAAGCATCGTAATATCACCGAAATAAGTTCACCAAAATGCTATCGGAATCGATTTTCGATTTTATGGGACAAATTGGACTGCACTACAAGACTGTGAGTTAAACGGAACTAAGATCACGAAGAAAAAGTTAATCATCGATATGCAATTTCATTGACTATTTATAATTGTTAAACTTACCATAAATATGTTACGCGAAATTTTTTTTTCAAGTTTCAAATTCGATATATTTTTGGATAACCTCTTTTCAGCTCACAATCGTCCGCTCTACCATCCTTAAGGCCATCGCGTATGCTGCTTTGACAATGGTTTTGATATGCGTCATCTTCATCCCGAACCCCATCTCCTCCTTGTGTGTCGGGGTAGCCATCGTGTCCATCGAAACAGGAGTCATAGGATACATGAGTCTCTGGGGAGTAAACTTCGACGTGGTATCGATGATCCAACTGATCATGTGCATAGGCTTCAGCGTTGACTTCACAGCCCACATCAGTTATTCGTATCTTGCAGCCAAAGTTGACACACCTGAGGAGCGAGTCCAGGAATGCATGACGTCATTAGGATTGCCCGTCATGCAAGGCGCGCTCTCGACTCTCATCGGAATCCTGCCGTTGATGTTAATCCCATCTTATATGTTCACGACCTTCTTCAAAACGGTATTCTTAGTTATATTCTTCGGAACGATTCATGGTATTTTTCTCATGCCAGTCTTTCTGTCTATGTTCGAAAGCATGTTACGCAATAGAAAAGTTAAAGTTCGCGACGAAGAAGGAAATCCCAATGTGAATGAGTCTCGTGAAATGGCTTCCATACGCAACAAGCAGCACAATCAGTCAGCTTTTAGATAGCTTAACCTTAGAATAAGAAGCTGAAGTTAAAAAGTTCCTTCAGTTAATATATCATTCTCAAATTGCGATGGGTTCATTAAGACCAGACTAAAAGCGTTCGCACTGACGCAGGCCGACGCGTGCGGAAGCTGCGATATTATATACATGTGTTTCTACCAGAATGGCCACACTAAACGCTTACAGGCAGAAGCTGCCTCAAGCGTACAGACGCTATGCCGCGCCGTGAGTAATCGACATTACTCTAGAGTCTAGAGACTAGACAAATATTTCGGCGCGGCAACGCGCGTGCACCATTCAGTGTCCTTGATGCAGCCGTGAGGGGAGGACATCGAAGACATTGATGAAGACAAAATAAAGAAGGAAAATCAAAAACAAGTTTATTTTAATTACTTCTTATACTAAAAAATTGCACATGAGTATCAAGTCTATCTGTATTAAGGTTGGACTCGCGACGTTTGCATCATATATAACCTATCAAAATATTTATCTAATTTCACTTGAATGGATTCCAAAATAAGACAAAACAAAGAAAGTATATATGGGATTTTTTAATTTCTTTTTCTTTCCCTATAGAAGTTTCATCAATGAGAACGGCTGTTGCGTCTCTTGCTGACACTCATTTATACACGCTGACTCGCAGTATAAGCTGGGCAGTGACGCGGTCCAGCGTCTAGTTTGGACACCATACGCGCGGCGCGGCGCCGCACTGCTCGAAGCGTCAGCCAGCGTACGTGTGAACACATTAAGTCTGGCTGTACCCTTGGAATTTCGACTGGTTTAGTCTATTTTCTAGGGATTTCTCCACTAAGCAGGTACGCCCTAACTCCAGAACATTCGCCTAACATTCTGAATTGTCCTATTTTTATCCAAATATTCATTTGCAATCAATGATCAGTAGCAAAAAATACATTGACTTTGCCTTACAACAGTGATACTGAAGGAAATTTGTGCACACGTTTTCTTGAGTCGAATGAAGCAATTTATGCTTTATCGAGATCTCTATTAATAGTTGTGATCGGTGTTATCGAACATTTCTCGATCTGCCTACTTTTCGTAGATATTCATAACCAGTAACTAGTGGAAAACGAGTATGCTCACACTAGTAGTGAAAAAGGTGAAAACTAACAGTTCTGATGTAGAATTTCTGAAAATAATGAGATGACAATGGGCCCAAAAATTAATCAAGTGTCACCGCAGAAGGGTTCATTTGGTGAGACGGAGCTGAATGAGAAGCAAATGAAAAAAGATGGTCAATAAACCGGAGCTAAATAAATCTGTCTAGCTGACCGCTGACCATTCATCGGCCACCTGAAAAGCGAAAATTGCCTAAAAATCCGCGCTGCTAGAGATATTATCATACAGACACTTCACTATAAGACGCTCCAGAGTGCAAAATGCTGGTGTTGGGACTGCATGAGCACGGATTTTACGACATGATCCTGAATCCGTTAACTCTTCGCTGCACTGTGAACACGGGCCATAAGTAGCATGAATTTTAAAAAATACATATTGCGTTGTTCCTCCTGAAAGCTGTAAAAAACATAAAAAATTGTCTCCATAAAAAAGTTTTCATTGGAATTTGTAGTAAAAAATTAGTTTTAAGAAATAGTAATATCACTAATGAACTTTCAAATATCTAAGACTTCGAAAGGCTCCTGAGCGAGCGCTTCACAGTCTTTCCAGCTTTAATTATCTCGACTGAGAGAGATTGGATAATATTTAACTATCCTCGTCTACGCCCCGCCCCTCTTTGCACCTGCGTGTTAGCAGCCGCTAGTGCGGTCACTGCGGTGTTGGCTCATCAATGACGAGTTGTTTCGGTACTCACTAGCTCCGCGCAAAGCTCAAGTTTCAGGGCCAGAGAGGTTGCCATACGTACCCGAAACTCCTTATGAGAGTGGCGTGACGTCCTGCAATTTCGACTCCGATTATGGCAATGGTGAGGCAAATGGTGGAGAACTCAACCGCATAGACCGATCCTGAATCAAACTGCCCATGAGCGAAAAAATTGAAAATAAAATACTCGAAAAATTCAACTCAGGAGTCGATTAATTGTGACGATTATAGGGAGGCTAAAACTGACATACATTATTAGAAATATTGCAATTTTGGTGTACGGGGTAATAGTTTACGGCCTAATTTATGCACTTGCTGGATCCACCCTAAATAATTTAGTATTGTTGGCCGTAAGTGCTTCGACGGCACCCAGGAAGCGACCTGTGAAGCGAGCATGGGCAGTGCGATATGCACTGCCCGACGTATGGACCGACCGACGAGCTTTCCTTAGACTTCAAGCAGAGGAAAAGGCACGTATCATCTAAATTATTCTGATCAATGGTAGTATGTACTTATTGCGTGATTGTCGTAAAGTCGTCTAGGTAGAATGGGTATTCATTTAACAATAATTATAAGTAAAGCCTGTATATTATTTATTCTTTAAGCATAAATAATTTAGCCTTGTAATACACATTTTATTGGCATATAAAACTGTTTGACAAAAATCATTCGAAAGGACCAAGTAGGAGGTATAACACCTGCCGCAAACAAAGCGCTGTACTGTTGGGTTATACTCCTCTGTAGCTCAGAGACTTGTCTTCTCCAATTTTTTAGCTCATGTTTTGGATTTTCACAAAAAAATTGCCTCTTTGTATAATGTAACTTGTCGTTGACTAGACAATAAATGGAATTCACAGTACAGACGTGCGCGTGTCATTGTGGTGTATATATTTTTCCGCTTCTTTCTTTACTCGCAAATATGTCGCCCTCTCGTACCGTGGAAAATTTTGGTAAGGGAAGAGAATGCTTTTGTGTTATGACTTCCTATTAAATGATACCTATAAGAAAAATTAAAATTAAAGAATTTTTACTGTGAATTTTGGAGAGGTCAAGTCAAGGAATGAGATAAAAATTACTTTTTAAAGACACTTCTAAAAAATTTAGTGTCTCCGATGCTACACATGTACAATGAATTTCTAATTTTATTTTCAAATAATAAAAAATTAATTCTGATTTTGTAATGTACAAAAAAAGTTTTTTTTTCAAATTATTCTGTCAATTGATTCGTGCATTGTCTCCGACTTTGAGCAAGTGTACAAAATTTCAGAATGATTGGACAGGTAGTGTGTTAAATATCGATTAAGAGATTTGTAGCAGACAAAATTATTTTTAAAATTTTTTTAATAATAAACAAATAATTTCAAAATTATTCTTTCTGTCAATTGATTCATGCATTGTCACCATCTTTACGCAAGTGTGCAAAATTGCTGGTCCATTGGAGAGTTAGAAGTGTGTTAAATATTGATTATAAGATTTGTAGCAGACAAACAAACAACAAGTAGTAAAGTTAAAGAGAAGTGTTGTAAAAATGATTGAATTGTCGTTCTGAATTTCATCATAGCGTGAAAGAAGGTTGGAAGTTCATCATAAATTGGAATATTTGCCATAGCATCAAAACACCCTCTGCAATCCCTGTAATAATATTATTATTATTGTAATTATTGTTTAGGTAATATTATGTAATTATTGTAATAAAACACCCTCTGCATTAACTCTGTAATCCCTAACCTTGAATTAACTAGTGGGAGAGCGCGAGACAACACAGACATCGAGTCAAGAAAAAAGCAAAGTGTGATTTTTTCTGAGGTTTGGTGTGAGTAACGGCAAACATTCGCGACAGTCGCGCTTACTTGTGAATTATTTATCATTATTGTGAATTTTTATTAATTTCTGTGTGAATTTTTATTCATTTATGTATTCAATAATATATTCATTTTAATTATTTATTGTGAATTTTTTTATCATTTCAAAAACTGAATCTTTCTGGCAAAAATATTGAAGAAGAAGCCTTTACATAGACACAGTCGAGATTTTTAATCCTATTATAATTGCAATTATAAATATCATTGACGTCATCTATATTATTTTTATATTATTATTACTGACATTCTATTATATTATTTCGTATTTTTATCACTTGCTATAATTTTTGGAATGAAAATTTGAAATTAAACTCGGAATTAAAACCGTATTTATCATCGTAAACCGTATAAAACCGTATTTATCGTAGATCAAAACATGTTTCCTGCAAATTGATGAGAGTTTGATATCACATTATTCGAATCCACTACATAGAATTTTTGTCTTTTTTAATTCGAGTGTAATCAAGTGTAAGAGGTGTTTAATTGCTGAACACAGTTGCGAAAATATTCAGCCTACTATCGATCGCTGAAAACGCTAACTTTATTTTAATTCTGTGTGCATATTCTAATTTTATTTATATGATTTATGCAATTTTCTTCTGTGGCCTATATAGTCTGGCTCTAATGAGACGTGCGCACATTTTAGCGCATAATGAATCGGGTTGGATAAAAAGTATTAAATAAACCAAATAATTCAACATGTCATGAAATATTACTTATTCTAATAATTCAGTAGTATCCAGGTAATTAGCAATCACATCCTCAATCAATCACATCGTCAATCACGGTTAACAATCACTTTCGTTCAACCCAATTATTCATGTACGAGATGAAGTAATGACTTAGCAACATTGCTCCTTCGGCACACTTCGCCGGCATGCTCATCAATCAAAGCGGCATAATCGCTTTTTGAGATAAAAGTTAAGTTCCATTTTTCATTCCATTATAAACGACCAGGAAGGTAACAAACATGGAGAAAAAAATTCCAAACTTTATTTCATTTTGACTCCGAATTTTATGTGAGAGTTTTGCTTGAAATAAATACGGTTTACTTACGAGTTTAATTTCAAATTTCCATTCCAAAAATTATAACAAGTGATAAAACTACGAAATAATATAATAGAATGTCAGTAATAATAATATAAAAATAATATAGATGATGTTAATGATATATATGATTGCAATTATAATAGAATTAAAAATTATCATACTGAAACTGACACCTGTGACCTGTTCTGTTTGAGGGGCTATTAAGATCATGCAAGTATTTCATGTGTTGCCAGCAGCATTTGGGCTCGGAGGAATTCTGCCAGAACCGGTTCCTGGCTAAATTTTCAGCAACCGCTAATCATTCGATCGTATCTGTTCTAATTATCCCCTAATATAGAGATTCCAGTATCGCACACCTGGACACCTGGACACATGAGTTGCATTGAACTAGGCTCGGACTCTACTTGAAAACACACGGCATGTGCAGCAGTCTGGGAGCTGCAGTTGCGGGAAAATTGGCATAATACTTTACTTATATAGTTATTACTGTTAATAATCCTACAATGAGTCCAAGTAAAAGTGTCAAAGTAAGTACTTAATACTGAAAGGAACGGAACATGAAAAAAATTTGACTAAAACTATGAAATCCTGATAGTAAAAGTGGCTAACGGTTGTCAAAAACGTTCGCTGCACAATTCATGACGATAAACGTCCTGACGCTGCGCTCAGTAGACGAGGCGAGGTGTTAGTTCTCTGCTATCACAAATGAAGTCGCTGGTAGAACTTTCTTTAGTCAATGCGCTCAGTGGTCGTTGGGCTGGCTCCCGACAGTATAACCGCCGGAGTCGCTAGTATAAAACTTCCTTAGAGACACTGCATGCGCTTAGTAATCGAGACGCTGGGGCTGGGGATGTTATAACGCGTCTTGTAACTGTCTAATGCCAGTCTGCATGAGGCCGGAAAAACCGCTCCCGATATCACGATGGCCAAGGGTCTGCACCGATCAGCTACCACAGTACGAGGCTGGAATTTACTGCGAAAATGCGTCAGGTAAACTGCCAGTTGAGCGCTAGAGGGAAAGAATGGAGACCGGAGATTGGTAGAATCTCGGGCTACTACACTGCTTTCACCAGGTATTCCAGCAAAATAAATGTGCTAATTCGGGGATATAATATACAGTATATGGACCGGGACGAGGGAGGCTCGTATCATCCAAATTATTCTTATCAACGATACTATGTATTTTTTTAGTGATGGCCTCGAAATCGTTTAGGCAGAGTGTTTATTCGATCAACAATAATTGTTAGAAGAGCTTGAATATTATTTTTTCGAGCATAATATAATAATTTAGGTAATTATATAGGGAGTTCATTAACGAACATAAATATTTGTTAATAATAAAATGTTTGATGAAAAAAACATTCGTAAGGTGACATAACATCTGCCGTGAGAGACTCAACAAGCGCGGTGTTTGGACCAAATGTTGAGTAATATTTTTATGCTGCCTAGTGTCTTGTTCGTCTTTAATTTCTTCGGCTCTTGTTTCAACTTTTACAGCAAAAAATAAAACCAACATCGCATCAACGTATAGCATCACAATGAGGAGACAATGTATGAAGCTCGAAATACAGTCATTGCATGCGTATTTTTTAGGTAAATATTTTTCGCGCACGTCATTTCGGTCATGCAAGTCACAATATGAAGGCAAGGTCAGCCTTGTTTGCTGCCCAGTTTTTGTTTTCAGCTCAGGGACAAGTTGAAGATTTGTCCTTTCCTTTAATTTTGGATGGGGAAAACACTTTAATATTATGATTCCATGTTAAATGAAAGCAATTAAAATAATTATAAGGCTTTTCATATTCAGTGCAATAAAAATTGTCTAATTTTCATAATGAAGTTCGTCATAGAATGGAAAAACCGGCAGGCATGCAACTCGATGAGCCAGGAATGTATCAAAAAATAAAATATGTCTAGCACAAATAAATCTTGCCAAGGAATGGAAACCCTGTATTAACAATGTAACCTCCCGGCCCAGTATTCGTTAACGGGCGATAGGCAGAGCACAGAGCCCGAGTAAACAGTAAACAAGTGTGATTCTTTTCTATGAGGTTCGGTGTAGGAAAATGCAAACATTCGTGACAGTCGCACTTACTTGTAAATTATGGTCCTTCTCAAAACTCAAGATTTCTGTTGAAAACATTGAACAAGCCTATACATGAGAACAGTCGAGATCAAAATATGTTTGCTGCCCTCAGCAATATAATTGATGTAAGTTAGGTTTCTGTTGCACGTCGAATGCATCACATCGAATTTTCGATTGAGTCACTTGAAAATTGCAAATTTGTTGGCTTAAAAAGGGTTTCAATAGTTGAACACAATTAAATTGGGAATAGCAAATAGATAACGCACAGATTTAGATCTGAGCTGCACGGTCAAAATCTATTTTTCAGGTTGAACATCTTGATCGTCACACTGGCACGTAGCGCCTAAAAATTTGACATATGAAAATTAAGTATTACGCTATTCAAATTATCTTCAGCTCGCTATCCATCTTTGTTAACGTTAATACAGACAAATTGTTAACAGTTAATACAGATAACAATTTGTCCGTGCTGCAGTGTTCTTATATAAAATTTTCATTTATGTTGATTTCTGACTTTTGTTCTACGTTTTCCGACTCTAGCGATACATATGAAAAATTTACCGAATAATCAATCAAGTTTTGAACAAGTATTAAGTGAACCAATGAAATCAATTTTTTCAGAGAAGTAATAATTTATTTTGTTCCCTAGAAAATTTAAACCGGTGAATTTGCACTGCTGAGTCACATTTCCGGTTTGGCCGTGCAACAGAAAATCAGTCCTGAATAATTATATTTAATGACCTTATAATAGATCAGTACTTTACACTCTCCAGTTAATTCTGCACGTTAATTATACGGAACTACGTACGTTCTTGCACTTGGTCAAAATATAACGCAAAATGCAAAAAATCTGCAGTTGGTGACAACTAAAGGAAGCCACGGACCCATGATACATAGTTCAATCATGCGCGGACCTGCCAACTGAGATAAAGTTTGTTTTGATTTTAGTTTTAACGTGTGATGTGTGGAACAAAATCTAACCCCGGCCCGACCTCAGTTCACGATCATCCATCAACGAGGAAGGTGGTTGCCCTCTCAGCGGCATCTTAATTTCAC